ATAAAATTACATGTATTATCATGTAGACAATAAATATTTACAAAATTACGATAAATTAAGACTTTTATATATTACAAATTGTCAGGGGGGAAAACAAACACATCTATAAGTCGTGAGACTAATTTCATTTTCATCTCTTCATTATATTTACGTTATTTTACTGCAAATGTAGCTTACAAATGTATATGTTCAATGTATGTTATGTGCTCAAGTTATGAAGTAGTAGGAACTACCATAAAACTCCCTATTTGTGCAAGAGATAAATTCTATGAACCAGTGCATGTGTTGACATTTTGTAGAAGTTAAAATGTCACTGGGACTCCTTTGAAGTTGTACTGCAGGCAAGACTTAGTTACTACCCGGTAAACTGTGAGCAACTTGCCAAAAATTTGGCATTTATGAGTTATACCGATTAAAACTTGATGTATTGTGCCGTTTTCCGATTAAGTTATTATTCGTCTTCACTACAATAAATCCAGTCAGGCACTGCTGTTAGAATTCTGCTTTCGGTGATAGCAAAACACAACCAACTTAGGAAGTTCCTGTACAGAATGTTTGATGTCCACGAGGATGCATTAATAACACAGGTAAAATAGTTGTCCTATATGAATATATATGAAACAACAAAAGTGCCACAGAACACTCTAATTATGAAAATTACTAATACATGTAGCAAAAAATAAACAGTTGACAGTGTTAATGATGTATCAACAAAGCACAGTGGACTTACTAACTGAAAACTTGATACACCAGTCATAGTCCAATAATTACATATCCAAAAAAACATTTGCAATACTCTAACAAATACAGTAACCAGTCTCAAAATTTTGACCATTTTGACAAAAAACAGTGATGATTTTTCACAGCAATAGGCTATTCAAAGATTTGGATTTGACAACAGAACGATGCAAGATATTTATATTAACTGACTAAATTCAAGAGATGACTGTTCTTATTATAAAAGCATGAATTGTTTGAATTTTCATGGAATGCTTAAATGCACTCAGATTAGATAACAATTTGTGAAAATCCATCACTATGTTTTATTAGATGGTGAAATCCTGCATTTGGTATACATTTTGAGATTCTGGTAAAAGATTGAACACTAATATATTAACAGTTAACAAAATTTACTATATTTCAGTGAAACGTTTTAGATAAATGTTAAAATTGCACTCTGAGATAATTCCTATGTCTTTTTGAGTCTTGGAACAATTATGTGACTTATTTTACGATCTGAATTTGTGGAAAATGATTCCTCCTTCTGCATTACAGAATGTCAGAGAAGAAGCAATTCTCTATAAATGGTTGACAACAATCTGACAGGTTGAATATGACTGAAATTTTAATGTTTAGTAGATATTTTCCACAAGTCATACAAATTCAGTCGATCAAATAGTCCTACGACCCCCAAAAAGCCTTAGGACTGATCTTGGAGTACAACTTTAACTAAAAATTAACTATATTAAAAAACAGTCCATATAATTATTGTAAATGACTTGTTAAGAAATTTCCAGTTTGTAGTGATGCTTTATCAAAAGTCCGATTAACTCTTGGGTCACATCCTAATTACACAATATAATTGTCATTTTTAGTAACTGAATGGCAGACTGAACAGTACAAGTATGCAATATAACTTAACTTCTCTAAAATAATTGTTTTATATTCAATGAAACACAATGTATCATATACAGAAAGTTGAGCAACCTTCATTGTGATTGGACTATGTCACATAAAAAAACAATCATATTCTAAATGTAACCTTCACTTTGATTGGACTACACTGCTCCTCATGTCACATAAAGAACCAATCATATTCTCACAATATCTAACCTCCATTCTGATTTGACAACAATGCTTCTCCATTAGTGGTATATTAATAAAGACAATTATATAGTAACTAGACTGCACAGTTAATAAATGTCATACTAAGAATATAAAGATTGCGGTGTATTCACACATCAACCATCTACATAACTACTATTAATAACACAGTCAACACTAAAAGGGCAGTGGTCTTCCCACCATGTATGTGCAAGATTTGTAGTGATAAACCAAAATGCTTTCACAGAGGCAAGCATGAATGCACAATGTCCACTGAATGCTAACATTGAGACATTCCAATCATCCCACAAATTACCTAGTTAAAAGTTGGTAACGTATCTTTGTGCAACAATCAAGTCACCAACTTTGTCAATATTAAACCCATATCTCTAGCATGTGTGGTAAGACAACCACTGCCCTTCAATTGCAGGATAGAAACATTCACCATGTAATACATGGAACTCCATCTACTCTAAGCTAGAATGTACTCGCATTCTTTAATCTACCTCACGAAAAGGTGTAACAAGTCAGTTTCATTTTGTTCATACAGGATTCTCCCCAGGGCATTATAGAATAGGGGTTCCCAAATGTTTAATTTAGGATAAACAATAGAACCAATTTATCATTAATAAATACAAGTCATTAACATACTATTTTGTTATGCAAATTGCCAGATAGTGTATGCAATTTTTCCAAGGAGAACACTGTCATAGCATTACCGTTGTATTGTTGGCAGCACTTCGTTGTAAGCCCTTTAACTTTTAAGTAACATGCGCCAAAATAAACAAATCATACTATTAACAGCATTTGGGATCTTTCCTGATGTTTCGCCATTTATCAACTACATTATGTTCGGTCTAAACAAATGTTATTGAGAAATGCTTTACACAGATTACCTTCAAATTTTTGAAAGAAAATCCCATAACTATCCAGTAATTTGAGGAGACTCTAAGGAAGGCTCGGTAATTTTGACAAGAAGCTTCTGAACTGGATATCTTGCAAATACCTTACCAAATGTCACACTTCGTATGTGACACATATTACTTTATATGTCAAGGGCTTCCAATAAAATACTGGTGACAAAGGACTTTTAAAAGTCCTTATGGATGGATTCATTTGAAATGACAACTACTTTTTAAGAGGTGATAAATTTGAGTGTTAATACAACAATACCTGATGCATATAATCTATATACAATGTATTACAGTTCAAGTGGACAGTGAAAGAGTTCTGCAGATACAAAGCTTTCACGTTATCAAAACAGGTGGAATGCATTTACCAGTATATAATCTAGTTAAAAAAAATGAAAAAAAATTATATCAATGTATTTTATAAATATATTTATATTTAAAAAAACTGTGCTCACAAAATGAGCAAAGAAATAGTACAATTTTTGAGTGAATTTGATACAAGATACAATGACAGTAAATGCACACTAGATGTGTAATTATTACGGTAGAGCATAAATTTCAAACAAGGAGTGCAATGAGAGTGAGAGATTAGATCAGATAGCAAGAAAGGTCAGAGGTTTCCAAAAAGAAAAATAATAGAATAGATAGCTTCTAGGACAATATTTGGTAATCACTGTCCTAAATAACTACTTACAGGGTAGTACTGTATCCAAAGACATTTTGGGCAATGGTACATTTTCTGCATGTGAAATGTACAGGTTACAATGATGGTGACTGATCTTCTATAGTAGCATATGAAACATTTTCATTGCCTAAAACTTCTAGCTGTTTTGAATAGTTCCAAACATTCCATGTTGCTAAGAGACGGACCCCTGTACCATGCATTTCTATGAGCTCTTTGTGAGCTGCTGTGTAACACCGGTCGATCAGTCGGTGAAAACAGCTAAATAGCACAAACTCAACTTTGAAAATAATCCTGAGCAACCAAATTTATATTTGTTGTGTATGTAGGGGAGAGTCTCAACAACTATTTCTGAGTGTTTTTGACCTTCGTTTTCACTGTGATGGTTGGTTGCCAGGCGCCTGTATGTCTGCCCCTGAGATTACGTCACAGTGTTAAGAATTTCATTCATTTTCCCCTTTTGCAACAAGGAATTTTTTTTCACGAAATTCTCCCCTCTAGTCTTTAAATGGGGAATCTCTGAATAAATTTAATTGCAAAACCTGCAATATTAGTTTCGAAAAGGAATGGGATTACTGGCACAGAATATGGCATACTGTTGTAAAAAGCTGTTATTTCTGTGCAACAGAATACAAGGTACACCACTATTGTCAGATTGTGACTGGTTTACATTAGCAATAATGAAAATTCACCAATTATTCACTGGGTTTTAATTTCACTATTTATGCTGATGAGTAAATTTAAATGTCAAATAACAATAGAATTCATTGTTTCCCTGACAAATTCATGAACTTTAAAACTCAGTGAATATGCTCAAAATATCAAAACAGAGAAATTAAATGTCAGTGAAAATAAATGGTTTTACATTAGTGTACATTTGATGTGTGTATCTGGGTGGAAAACAATTAAAATTAGAAATGCCATGTAATCTCTTGTACAGCTGTTGTAAAAGTTCTATTTCTCTTTGTCTACACACAATTACAGTACTGTAAATGTATAAATTATTCACAGGGTTTTAAATTGAATCTACATAAACATGTGACACTACAATAGAATCTGTGCATTTAAAACCCAGTGAATGTGTTAAAATATCACACTAGTGAAATTAAATATCTGTTGAAATTAATTCTTTCACAGTATACAGAAATATGTAATGAAATGAAAACATTGCAATGTTTCATCAAATACAGTCAATGCATTCCAACACAATGGCAGATAAAGATCAGTTCTTATCTGAGACTCAAAATTGATAGGCAAGTCAGCATTTTGAATAAGGTAATACTACAACATGTATGGCCAATACAATTTTTAGAGACCAATTTGTGAGTGGATAGTGAAGACCCTTTCAGTATGCTGTTATTGCAAGAGCTCTGAGTTCTCCAAAGAAAATTATAGAGTAGGGCCCACAATGGAGCAACAATGAAAACTTATATTAGTAATCAATATGTTAAATTGTTATTCTGGTAGAGAAAACTGTATTAACATTTTAATGATATTCAGATACAACAGATATATTTCAAAAGTTATAATCAGACTTTCTAACTGACTTGTTTTTTTACCACCAGGGTATGCTTTTCTCCAGACTACCATCTCTGTGGGGCAATATGGCCAACTAAGTAGATGTTGTCATAAAGATGACCTGAGAATTCATCATCCACATGAACAGCAGCTCTTCGTACATTCCGGATGAATTCTCGCTTTGACATCTTGTTTTTCACATGAGGACTAGTCAGATCAACTGACAGTAAAATTAAAGAATAACACAGGACGTAAATTGTCTCTGAAATTGGAAGAAAACAACACAAATTATGTACTGAACTAAACATTTCACTATTAAACATCAATACCTTTGTGTGATGCTACTGTACAGACCATACTCAAATGACACTTGTGTGTAACTTGATTTGTATTACATACCTGTGCAAGGTAGATTACAATGGAATCTTCATTGCATATCATCAGGTAAGACCACGAGACAACACAAATCCTACCCACTATACACTGTCACCTTTACCTGCTTACCTACTATGAGATCACAAGACAAAACAGACCCACCTCTGGTAAATAGCTAATCTCTGTAGCTTACCTGCTGTGAGACCACAAGACGGATTACAATCAATAAACCTGGAGGCAAATTTCTCAATCAATGTCTGTAGCTCATTGCTTCTCTGACTAGGTGCATCAATGTTTGAGAAGAACAACCTCAAAGCATTAGCCAGAAATTTATTTGCATAGTTGTGTAAATTAATAAGTTCGTCTAGCACATCACGCCTGCAGATAAAAACAACATTTATTAGTTGTCTGATATTCAATTTTTGTGTGTGTGCAAAATCAAATAAAATATAAAGCCAAAGAATAGCCAAAATTTAGCCGGTATAAAAATCATTAAGTACATATTTCCCCCAATTCAGACCTTTAAAATTTAATAGCTTCAAGACGATCAAAAACATCATCATTATTTTGTGAAAATATTACTGT